CTCACTCCTCCTTCGTCCCAGCGTGCTCAGCTGATCTCGATCTACGTCCATCACAAATCGGTTCCATGAGCAGGTAGGTGACCCGGCGAGCTAATTCAGCTAAATAGCTAGTATCGTAATTCTTGTGTGACTATGAAACTCAACGTATTCATGGCAGCAGGGGGCCACCGGCACACGCAGCATCTCTACCACCGATCACGCTAGCCAATCTCCCCCGCCGACAGTGTTAGACATTGAGAGGTGAGCTAAATTTGTGAACTTGCATTACATTGTGAACTATGATGAGCTTGCGTTTGTGAAATTTGTGAACTTGCATTGTCAACTCGTAGCGAAACAAGTAGATTGACTTATATTCTTCCATTTTTAATCTTCTTTTCTAGACTATGCAGGATCGAGGCCACTGGATGTATCTTCTGAACCGTACTTGTGGAGACTACTTAGATGGATTGAAATCTTTCCGTTGCAGAGGCGGATATGGTGAATTGATAGAAGTCATCTATGTGGTGCCCATTTGTTGACTGTGAGAATGAGAAGCAATACGTGAATTCGTTGTCAGTCCATGCCCACCTAATCATTCGAGGATTCGTGCATGACTACCGATGTTGGAACAAACATGGAGAAGAAAGTGTCAATGACCGAGACCAGGAGCAGGCTGCTGGTCAGCACGATGGTGCATCTACACTATTGTTCTTGTCACAGGCGCGTCTTAATCTTGTCATAGACGCGTCTTGGCAACACGTATCTCCAGTAAGGGCTTACTACAGACGCGTGTTGACACCCACTAGTCTCTAGTAAGGGCTTATCACAGACGCGTGTTCATTTATCACAGTCGCGTTTTTGTAACACGCGTCTATAGTATATGCTTATTACAAACGCGCTTTTTGCGCGTCTCTAATAAGACCTTATTACAAACGCGTGCCTGCGCGTCTGTGATATGCTTTTTTTACATATGCAATCAGACCCGTAAGATTAATTAAAATAAGGTTAGGCTAAATCTAGTCAAATCCAACATGATAGCTAGCTAATTATGTGCCTTGTGACTCCACAACGCGATATATGTATGTCTTGTTGCAACAGTGTGGATATATTTGTTGATCATATGGCAAACTTAAGAGAAACTTGAAAAAAAAAGTTCTGCTAACTGTTATTCGGCGAAGAGTGAGGTTATGGACGCGGATCGAGCAAGCTGAGGTGAGCGCCTGTTCGTGGTAAGAAGTAATAACATCGCGTCGCATCTGGAGTTTCTTTTTTCTTTAACTAGAATCATGCTCGTGTGTTGCAATAGAAATACAAAAAGGGAACAAAAATAATAATAACATGATATTTCATGTTCGATTGTGCGTCACGCTATTAACAAAAAAAATGATATTTCAAGTGTAATGTTCGTAACATTATGTTTTGTAGCCAAAATTTGCTATCCGACGTGGCCTGCCCCGTCTGGTCTCGCCCGTCCGCCTGCCTGCCTACAATAGGTCAGAGTTCCCCCCTGCACCAAGTGCACCCTAGGGCAGAGCTCCCCACCAGCGTCGAGCCCGCCCGTCACCTATGCCACCCACCAGATATCTCCAATTTCTAGGGATTGATGTATCCCAGGATCTAAAGGAATATTGCTCTTTAGAGACCAATTTCTAGGGATTGATATGTCCCCGGATCTAATTAGCTAGCTCCAGTTTAAATTTGCCCCACAACTCGCACTTAGTTGTTGTTTAGTTCGTTGATAGAAGCGGCAATGGGAATGTAATCAGCTGCCCCTGCTACATGTTACATGGGAACGAAGCGCACGATCTGTTTGGTTTGCTTTAGAAGGGTTTCCATTTACGGTTGGAGAAGCAGGCCTGCGCATTCAGTCTGCAGTTGCCATGGATGAACGGGGTCTCGCCGCTAGCTCGCCCTTCCCATGCCTGGTGCTCGCTCCCTCGGCCTGGTAGTGTTGGCTGCGGTTCTTGCACCCTTCTGCGGCCGGTCGTTGTCGCCGCGGCCCCTCCTCCTGTGCATCTTTCTCCATCGCCCTGTTCGTTTGGGCTTGTTTGGCTTATAAGCCGTACTTTTTCAGCCAACGAACAGTACTTTTCTCTCACACCAAATCAGCCAACGGTACTTTCAGCCATGGCTTATCAGCCAAACAAGCCCAAACGAACAGAACGCATGTTAGTCTGCTACTCGAGCTGCCGTGGCTCAGCACGGACCCCATCACGTCGCCGTCGTCGTGGTGGTCGCGGGGCGCAGCGCCCCTTCCGCCGGCCATGGCAAGGTCATCAGGGTTACCTCGCCGGTTGCTGAGTTGCGACTCGCGAGGGAGAAGAACTCAAAGGAGAAGCCGAACGGAGCGGAGTCCAGATAACGCGCCGAAGGGTGCGGAGTCCGGATAAGGGCGGGTCAGGAGTGGGATCGAGTTTGTACAGGCCTGTAACTGTTCACAACGTGACCGATTAGTCATTGGATCAACCAAATGTGAAGCAACGGTATCCATTCACGTCGTGAACCATTGACGGGCTAAAATGGCCCAACCAAACAGCACCTTATTAGTCATATGTACCCGTATGTGCTTTAAATCTACCAAATAACAAAAATAAGTGTACATGCCTTATTTTGCGGAGTTAACTAGTAATCTTAAGTTTAACCAAATATATATAAAATACTAATGTTTATTATATCAAATAAGTATTTTTATATTAATCGTGCCATATATTTTCATAGTAAATTGATCTAGAGATAGAAATGTTGTTGATAATTTTAATAAATCTACCCAAACTTAAAATTAGTTGACTTCTAAATTATTTTAGGGCAGAGGAGGGACGACTATATATTTCACAAGTCAGACATTTGACACATCCAACACACATATATGAGAAAAGGACAAAAAATAATGTAGCGACTCTTATTTTGTTTTGTTAGGATCATGGTCAGCAACAACTAGCTTATAAGACAAATAGCTAGTTAGGGACGTACTTCCTCCAGTTCATTTTATAAGGTATAGCTTAACAAATAATTTGAAATTAAAACTCAAATTGTGAACCGAAAAGAGAACAAAAGTAATAAATCTTGGTAAGGACTAAATTGGACTAAAATTAAATAGTTGAAGTGACTAACTCAAACCAATAAACATTAGTTTAACAGGTTATCTAGACTACGCTAAAATTTTTGCAGGAGTCGAATGTAGTTAACGAGTTAGGAATTACCAGGGGTACATAGCTCACAGCTGAATCTGAATCTGAGTGAACTGAATCTTGCAGATGTGGATGTCTTGCATGTTGAGGTTAGAAGCTAGTGGTATGAAATAACTATTAATGGAAGATGATGTGGATGACTTGCATGTTGAGATAGAACTTGAGATGACGTGGATAGCTTACAGTACATTAAGAGGGTTGGATGTCTTGCATGTTGAGGTTGGAAGCTAGTGGTATGAAATAACTATTAATGGAAGATGATGTGGATGACTTGCATGTTGAGATAGAGCTTGAGATGACGTGGATAGCTTACAGTACATTAAGAGGGTTGGAAGTTAGTAACATGAAATGACTATTAGTGGAAGATGATGTGGATATCTTGCATGTTTAGATAAAACATGAAGTGGCGATTAGCTTTATAAGTGATATAGATGGGAAATCAGTTTCTACGTTTGCAAAGAGACATGACACCCAAGGATAAGGACAAAACTAATCCAGTCATCTTTACGTGTAAAAAAAAGATGTGAGATGTGAGAGACTAGGATGACTCACACATGTATAAGAGAGATAAAAAGGTACAACATGCAAATAGTGTGAGGTTTTGGACATTTTAGCGTTCATTTGGCCATCCAACTTTCCACGCACAACGATGATCCATAAGCTACATATATATATACCGTACTTTCCAGAATGTCTAGCCAAAACGTAGGTTCTAGTTCTATATAAAGCGCTAGACACCTTTCATAGCACAGCAGGAAGGCAGAAGCACACACACCACCGGCCTGAACCTCGCTTGGCTAGCTAGTAGCGACCATGAGTCACCTGCAGGAGGTGGCATACCAAGTCACCTCTTCACCTTTAATTCTGGCACAATGTCTCCTATTGCTCCTCGTTCCTCTCCTGCTCCTGCTGCACTACTACGCCTCCCGACGGTCAAGGTCAAACCGCCGTCATGGCAGCAGCTGCAGCGACGACAAACAGCAGCTTCCGCCTTCGCCTCCGGGGCTGCCCATCATCGGCCACCTTCACCTCATCGGCGACCTCCCGCACGTCTCCCTCCGTGACCTCTCCGCCAAGCATGGCCGCGACGGCCTCATGCTCCTCCACCTCGGCGCCGCCACCACTCTCATCGTGTCATCCCCGCAGGCTGCGGAGGCGATCATGCGCACGCACGACCATGTGTTCGCATCGCGTCTCGTGTCCACGGTCAGCGACGACCTCATGTACGGGTCCTCCGACATCGCCTTCTCCCCCTACGGCGAGCACTGGCGGCAGGCCAGAAAGCTGGTCACCACGCACCTCCTCACCGTCAAGAAAGTGCACTCGTACCGTAGTGCCCGCAAAGAAGAGGTGCACCTTGTGCTGGCCCACGTACAGGAGGCGGCGACGGCGGGCACAGCCGTGGACATGGGCATGATGATGAACATGTTCGCCAATGATATCGTGAGCCGCGCCGTGACAGGCAAGTTCTTCCGGGCAGAAGGCCGGAGCAAGCTCTTCCGAGAGCTGGTGGAGGCCAACTCTGCTCTGGTTGGAGGGTTCAACCTGGAATACTACTTCCCCGGGCTGGCGAGGTCGTTAGGTTTCCTTAGCAGAAGAGATGGGATGAGCTGCTTGAAACCATACTGAGCGACCACGAGAGAAGAGACTCTATGACTCATCACCATGACGGAGGTGACTTCATCGATGTGTTGCTCTCCGTTCAGAAAGAATATGGTATGACCAGAGATCATGTTAAGGCCATATTGGTGGTGAGTACCGTAGTATACCCAACAGACAGAATCGATCCTCTCATTTATATACGTCCTGAACTACATATTTGATGATAACTAGGACATGTTCGGCGCGGGCACAGACACGTCATCCTTGGTCCTGGAGCTCGCCATGGCCGAGCTGATGCGCAACCCACAGCAGATGGCTAAGCTACAAGGTGAAGTGAGAAAGAACACACCAGAGGGACAGGAAACGGTGGAGGAAGAGAACCTACCTAACATGCCCTACCAGAGAGCCGTCGTGAAGGAGACATTGAGGTTGCACCCGCCTGCCCCGCTCCTCGTGCCTCGCCTCTCCATGGCGGACTGCGTCGTCGATGGCGGCTACTATGTCCCCTCCGGCACCAGGGTCATCCTCAACGCATGGGCTCTTGGCAGAGACCCGGAGTCATGGGAGAAGCCGGAGGAGTTCATGCCCGAAAGGTTCATGGACGGTGGCAGCGCTGCGGCCATCGACTTCAGAGGGAACCACTTCCAGTTCCTGCCGTTCGGAGCTGGACGAAGGATCTGTGCTGGCATCAACTTTGGGATGGCTACTGTTGAGATCATGCTAGCAAACCTCATGTACTGCTTTGACTGGCAGCTGCCCATCGGCATGGAGAAGGGTGTTGACATGACAGAGGTGTTTGGAGTGACGGTGCATCTAAAGGAGAAGCTCATGCTTGTTCCCGTTCCCAAACTTCGTGCTACTTCTGGTCACTCCATGCAAGCTGCTGAGGAAACGTCTATGACCATGCTGAAGTGAACTACAATCTACCCAGATTGGACCGGATGTAGTATGGTAATAAATAGTGTACTAATAACTCAATCCGGAATCTGGTAAAAATAAGTGGAATGGTATTTTAATTTGAAGGGAAAAAAATCTCTGTGTTGTTGTCAAGATTTCCTCACATATGAAGTGCTTTCGTCGTAGACACTTAACTAGCTGGGACCTAAAGATTAGGGATGAAAGCGGGAACGGGAAATTCCCGTACCGACCGACACCGAATACCGGAATTCCCGACCGGATATCATTTTCTCGGGAAAAAACGGATTCGGGAAGAAATCCGGGAAAATTCGGCGAATCCGGTATCGAAATCGGTTAGAGTGATTTCCCGACCGAATTAGCGGATCCCGTATTTGTCCGGGAAACCTCCCGTGGGAAATTCCCGTTTTTCCCATGGAGCAGCAAGGTTTGGCCCAGGAAGAGAGGAGGTAAGGAGCTGACGAGTCATGCATGCGGCCCATCATTCCATGCTTGACCCAGGAATTCACGCATGGAGCAGCAAGGTTTGGCCCTTTGTTCATTTTTCTTTTCCATTTTCTTTTTTTGGTAGTTCTGTACTTTTCTTTGCATAAATATTCTGACGAGCTCACTGTTTGCTATTGTTTGCATATAGATTATGCATGGTTGCTATTGTTGCAGCGAGCTCACTGTTTCCGGTGGTTACATATATCGATGTTTCCGTTTTGTGTTACTGTTCGAAATATTCCGTTCCCGATATCCCGTAATACCGGATTCGTTTTCCCATCCGGCCTTCCCGTTCCCGGCCAAAAAATACAGGACCAGGAATGGTTAAGATATTTTCCCGACCGTTTTCATCCCTACTAAAGATGGTCAAATGGGTGACACGACACTAGCACTATTTGGCGCGGCTGGCACTAAGGAGCTGTTTGGTTCGCGCTTTTCAGCCCCGCATCGATTAACAGCGTGATCGAAGAGACAACCTTGTTTCGCATTTGGATGGCCCGGTCCGTAATAGATGACACCGTGAACAGATCCGACCTATACACGACCACTCCCCCTCCTTGATCTCCTGCCGTTATCCGCTCCTGACTCTGGGAAAAAGAAATCCCCCCCCTCCCCGGGCACGCTCCTGGCTTGTAACACATGGCTTTGTTGATCACAGTTCTGAAGCCAACCAAATGGAGCTTTCAGTTCCCCAGTAACAATTTGCGGCTGCAACTGCTCCCATTACCATTGCCGTACACAGCACTTAACCAAACAGCTAGCATGGCTTTCTTAATTTGTCATACTGTCTCCAACAACCATGACACAAAATACAAGACCCATTCGTCCTTTGGGTAGCGCTACAGGCAAAGGGTTCAATACATATTTTTGGTCTTCTCCAACAACAAGACCCAAAAGACAACCCTTTCTGTAAATGGGTCTCCAGGAGAGATGATACTCAGATTTAGGTTATGCCTCTCCTGATATCTAAAATGGGTCTTCCATATAGATAGTCTGTTGGAGGCTATACGTATTATGTTGGAGACCCATTTTGAAATTGGGTTCTGCAATGGGTCTCGTGTTGGATACAGCCTCACATGAAGCTATTGCCCCGGTCAGCTGTGTGGCTTGGTCTTGAGGAACAATTTCTTGGCAACAAGGAGGCCTGGTCTGCCAACACTGTACAGCCCATCAACCGTCACCTTTCAAGTCTATTCTGGCCCGGCTCGCGCGTGGCCCAACGCCAGGTCTTCTTGGCCCTCGACCTCAAGCGTCCGCTGCAGCCGAGCGTTCTCTGCCATTGCTTTTGGTTGGGATCAGCAGCAGCCTGCAGCTCGCGAACTCATTGAACACGATGACGCTCATGGCTCCCTCCCTCCAACACTGGCTGTGTGGTACACATGATTTGGGAGGGTGGTGATCTCTCTATATCACCTCACACGTCTCCTCCTGACATAATTGTTGGCAACGCTTCTCTTCTCTTCTTCTGGTCTTTTCAGTTGGCGCTACATCTTTGCCTACTACATACTCATGCTCCTTTCTTTACACCTTCGCGATGCTCTTATCTCCCCTCAAATTATTAGGTAGCACTTCTGTGCTCTTCCATGTAATCAGAGTGACCTGGTTAATTGCATTATTGCAATATTTGGACATCTCCTATTTCCAGTGTCTCGGGTTAATTACAGGTATTATCTTGTTATTTTAGTTGACCACTCTCACTTTTTAGGGACATATCCCCTCCGTTTGAAGCCTGACACATCTCGCTCGGCACGGCCCAGTGGTCACGGGCCGGCATGGCTTGTCAGGTGCAGCGGGCCGTGTCGTGCCAGCCCACAGACAGCACCAACGGCCCAAGCACGGCCCTAAAGGCCTCGTGCCGTGTCGTGCCAGTCTGACAGCCTGACTGGCCCAATGTGCCAGAGACGGCCAAGGCACGAGCTGCTACGCCGCCGTCGCTGCGGGGGGGAGCTGCTGCGCCGCCACGGGCGGGAGCCGCTGCTGAACCGTCGCTGTGCGCTGGGAGCTGCTGCGCCACCGCTAGGCTCTGGTTGTCGAGCGCAGGTGAGAGTGAGAGTGAGTGAGTGAGTGAGAGAGAGAGAGAGAGAGGCAGAGCCAGGATGGGAGGCGGAGAGGAAGCGTCTAGATGGGAGGCGTAGAGGCGATGTCAGGATGGAGAAGGGCATGCACAGCCTCACGATGGGTATAACGGTGACCGCGAATAAGAGCTGTGGAGTGGAGGAGTGTGTGCGGCGACGGAAGTTGGGAAAGAATGTTGGGTTTACTGGTTGAGAGAGAAGGGTGGCTTACATGGGCCTTCACTGGCCTACAACTTATTGGGCCAGGCCGGGCCTACACGCCATTCTGAGGGTGCAGCCTAGGCACGACCCTAGGGTCGGGTCAGCCCGGCCTGGGCCCGACGGCCACCGGGGCATGCCATGCTTAGGTTGGGCCGTGGGCAGGCCATCGGGCCTAGTGCCTTATGGCCAAGTATACATACATGTGATATCATTGATTTTATATTTTAGGTGTGCGGGTGCTGCACCGCGTGCCCAACATCACAGTTATGTTGATACAGTGAAACTGAAAAATGAAACCAAGGCATCTAATAATCAGACTACGGATGATTGCGATGATGCACGCGTGAACAACGTCTAAAATTCAGAGGACATATATACATATACATAAATATATATGTCGTTGTCATGTGGAACACGTGGAAAATATATGTCTTCATCACGTGTATTTGCCACAAGTGGACAAGAGAAATTGTAGTCCTGGACCATCAAGGATGATTGTCTTCATCACGTGTATTTACCAACTTCCAATGATGATTGTCTGGATTCCATCGGCTTTGAACAATCCTTGCTGATCACCTTCTATTGGCGTCATCGACCCGAATACTTGATTTTCGGTTAAGTAACTGTTTCCTAAGCTGATGACAACATCTGCAGCTTGATCAAATAGCCGATACGTTACGCCTTTGAATATAGGTAGGTCCCGCCTCTGCTTTGTGCTTCAATCGGATATTGCTGTCAAGCACCGTGCTTCAGACTCCAAGCATCAACGTGGCCATGTGCACATGTGTGGCATTCAGACTTTATCTCTTGTACTTTTTAAATAATCTCACATGCAACTACGGCAGGCAAAGTCAATTCTTCTTCAACTTCCTTCGTACGTGAATTCCAGCTTGCCTCAGAATAGTGTCGAATACTTTTCAATATTGGAGCTGATCCCTGACTTCTCAAATGATTGTGATTCCACCGTGAACAAGCTTAGGTAATAAGCCGATAGAATATGCTTAACCAGAGCAAAAATCCATCCATCGGCTATCCTTTGTTATTACCTCCATCGGCTATTTATCGTATCAAGAAACAATAGCCGATAAAAAGAATTCAAGATATAACCAGAAGCTGCATTGATATCCATTGAGGGCTACCGGCTTTAAATTATAAATGCTCATAGCCAATAAGGTCATCTCATGATGGCTTCTCAAAGTACTACCACCAATTTTCCAAAAATAGAATCTTGCAACTTCTACTACTAGGAATTCTATTAACAGCAGCCCTGGCAATATATTTTCAGAAGACATTGGTTAATATTCATACCTCATTGATCACATTGGTTGTGCGTACGCCAAACTATAAATAGCCGATGCGCTGATATTAGCTGGCATCTCTTTAGACCACCTTTGTAGAAGTATCGGCTGCCTAGATGACTGTTGTGGACTTCTACTGCCGATATTCTCCAAGCCGATATCCCTCTTCGGGCTTTTAAGAAGAATCTGATTACTCCACTATATCGACTAACACTCTCTTTACTCAGCCGATACTTTTGAATGTGGCCTAGGATGGCTTTTTGCCGTCCAGTGCCTGCTGCACAGTGAGACCCTCTAGCTTGTTTTTCGAGGTGTGTTTCGGTGATGATATACTCATGTGGTCACCGTACTTGCTCGGGCCAAGACTACTTCTAAAATCTAAATCCCTTGCTAGTTTCTTCTGAAATTAAGCCAATAGCCAATTCTTCTCCTCAACAGCCAATTCCTTGTACCAAAATTATAATAATCATTAATCTGATCTCTGGACCTGCCCCTGGATCCTTATCAAGTTAATGAAGGAACTTGAAGTCATTCGCCAAGAAATTTATCGGCTATTGCAATATGGAAATCGGCTCTTCGAGGCTGCATCGGCTTAGCGAGCAAGACTTTGGACCCTAGCCGATTCCACTTTCAGACAGCCGATCTCCATCGGCAAGCTTCCATAAATATCACTTTTATACTGCTTGCCCAATGAAAAATTCCATCTAGGAGTTTCTCCAACATGTGCTTGAGCACACCATATCTGATTTGATATATATGACCAATATAGTCTCCCTTTCCATCTTCTCCGATCCAAATCAATGTACGATATAAGTCTTCTTTAAGCTAGTAGTCTGACCAAGCCGAGTGAATATCTCTGTGTAAGCTCAGCCAAATAGTTCATTGAGCGGTGGAGTACAGGAGCAGTAGCTTTTGATCTTCTTGAGTTTATCACTTGGAG